TGTGCAGTTCAGGTGGCCTTGAGCTCACTTTGTAGCCCTGGCTGACCTCCAACTTGCAGTGATCCTTCTGCTTCAGCCTTCTGAGTGCTGAGATTATAGGCCTCTTCCACCATTCCCAGCTCTTCCTTGTTTTTAAATTCACTATAAAGGCAATGTGGTAGTAACTTTTGTATAGACTTATAGGTCAGTGGAGTAAAACTAAGTGTCTAGAAAAAAATCCTCATATTCACAGTTAGATGATCTCTTACAGAGATCCCAACACAGTTCAATGAGGAGATAATATTATTATTTTTAAAATCATGCTGAAACAAGAAGCTGTCCATATGCAAAAGAATGCAGCTGGACACCTACCTCTCATGTGATACACAAAATTAACTCAAAATGGAGAAAAGACCAGAACATAAGAGTCAAAACTATAAAAAGAGCTCATAGAAGAGAGCATAGGAGTAAAACTTCATGGTCTTGAACTAGGTAATGGTTTCTTGGATATGTTAGTAGAAGTATGAGCAATAAAAGGAAAAACAAACCAAATAAATTGGATTTCATCAAAATTAGAAACACTTTCTTTCAAGAACATCATAAAGTGAAAAGACAACCCATAGAGTGTGAGAAAACATTTGCAAATCATGTTTGTAACAAAGTGCTTTATTGATACATCTATCTTCATCTACCATACAACTCTACAATAGGAATACAACCAAAATATAAAACAGACAACTGATATGAATAGCTATTTCTTCAAAGAAGATATGCAAACAGACAATAAGAACAAGAAAAGATGCTGAGATGTCCAGAATCCACAGAGACAGAAAGTAGATGAGGGTTTGCCTAGAGCTAAAAAAAGATAGGATGGGTTATAACTGCCCATGGCTATGGGGTTTCTTTTAGAAGTTATAAAAATATTGTGGAACTAAGTATTGGTGGTGCTTGCAAAACTTTGTGAAATATACCAAAGTCCACTGAATTGTATGCTTTCAGTGGGTGAGCTTTGTGGTCTATGAATTACTTTTCAATAAAGCTGTTGCAAGAAAATATGGGCCAAATAGACTGTACCAAAACACCCTCATAAATATTATCTTTTTAACCTCTGTAAGTTTTTTTGTGTGTAGTACTTGGAACTGAATCAGGGCCTTGGGCATACTAGGAAAGCACTCTATCCCTGAGCTACACTCCCAAACCCTGTAAGTTCTTATTACTGTTAACACACATCTTTTTCATAAAAAGTTTATTATTATAATAAGAGAAATAAGCACAATAACTAGCGCATTATAGGTATTAAAAAAAACATTTGTTTCATTGAATAGAGCTCTTGCAAAACCACCCTGTACTTATTTCAGATTCAGATTCACTCAGCATTTTACCTCAGGCCTGCCTCCTCTGGGCAGACCACTGTGCTAGGCATTCTAGGATTACCTCATTCAATCTTTGCCACAATCTTGGAGGGATCAAATGTTATGTCAGCCACACTCAGAGATGAGGAAACTGGGTTTTGGGTGGATTAGATGC